GCTTCCAGTACGTGTTGGACCGATTGGGCTCATGCCAAAGTTCCTAGTGGTAGACACCACCTCGGCATACAATGGGATGTACCTGGTTGCACGAAATGAAAGTGGTTTCATCAACGTTGCACCAAGTTCTTAGGTTTCCCTCTGCTAAGGGGATATTCAGTGTGAGGGGAGATCAGGTGTGTTCTAGGACCTATTTACTTGTGTTCTAGGACCTATTTACTGGCATCGGTGAAAGGAAAGGAGAGTAAATAGGCAAGAGTTGATTGTTTAATCGAAAGAGCTGTGAAATAGCAATCAAAGTACGACGAGGCAGACAAGACAGTGGCCTTAACAGCCTCAGCGGACCAAACTATTGAAGGATTATATAAGGTAAACCTAGACAAATGTGAGGATAAGTATTTCCTGGTCAGCGGGTCATTACTGCCAGCTGAACGAGAAGACCTTATGACACTTCTAATTGAGTATGTTGACGTGTTTACATGGACCACAAACGAGATGCCCGACATCTCCCCAGAGGTTGCATGCCACCGATTGAATGTAAATTCGAAGTTCAAGCCTGTGAAGCAGAGGCAGAGAAGGTCAACACTGCAGCATCAGGAGGTTGTGAAGGAGGAGGTAGCACGGCTACTAGAGTCACGAATTATCAAGGAAGTTCAGTATCCTACTTGGCCTTCTAATACTGTGGTTGTAAAGAAGAAGACTAAAAAATGGAGAATGTGTGTCGATTTTACCAACCTTAATAGGGCATGCCCTAATGATAGTTTTCCTTTGCCAAAAATTGACCACTTAGTTGATGCAGCTGCAAGGCACTAGCGGATGAGTTTTTTAGATGCTTATAGAGGCTATCACCAAATCCCACTGGCCGATGAAGACCAAGAAAAGACAACGTTTATAACACCCAAGGGGACATACTGTTATAAGGTAATGCCCTTTGGTTTAAAGAATGTGAGGGCAACATACCAAAGGTTGATGACGAGAATGTTCTCACACATGATTGGGGACACCATGAAAGTATATATCGATTATATGGTAGTGAAAAGTCGAAAGGTCAGCAGTCACACCTCCGACCTAAGGAGGACTTTTAATGTCCTCCGATATCAGATGAGGATTAACGCTTCAAAATGTGCTTTTGGGGTGGGCTCAGGTAAGTTCCTAGGATTCTTGGTGACTTACCAAGGGATTGAGGTGAACCTGAAACAAGTAAAGGCATTAGTAGAACTACAGTCACCCGAAACCACCAAGGAAGTCCAAAGGTTAACAGGAATGATAGCAGCTCTACGACGATTCATTTCTCGAGCATTAGACAAATGCAGGCCTTTCTTTCGTTCTACTAACTGAAAAGGGGGCATGGTATGGAGCCAAGAAAGTGAGGAGGCCTTTTTCAAGCTAAAAAAAATACTTGGCATCTCCACCCGTTCTCATAGTCCCAAGGTCCGAAGAGCGACTACTATTATACTTGGTTGTGTCTGAACACTCAGTGAGTGGGGCGCTGATGAGGAACGAAAATACCATACTCTGCCTAATATATTATGTCAGTAAGATAGTTCTCGATGCCGAAACAAGGTACCTACCATTTGAAAAGCTGGCATTGGAGCTAGTAAGTTCGGCAAGGAAGTTGCATCATTACTTTCAGGCGCACCAAATTGTAGTCCTCACAGATCAACCGTTAAAGAATCTTTTTCATAGAGCCGACCTATTAGGTCACATTTCTAAATGGTCCGTGGAACTCGACGAATATGATATCGACTTTGAGTCAAGGACGACCATTAAAGGGCAGGTGGTAGTTGACTTCATCGTGGAATTCTCACCTAAGTTGAATGATAGTTCGAGTGGTAGCCATGAAAAATGTGCCGAACAGATCTAGTCCTCATAACGGAGCTTGTGTTTTTGATGGATCATCCAACCACAAGGGTGCAGGAATAGGGATTATTTTAAGGAGTCCAGAGGGATACATGCTAAAGAAAGCATTAAAGCTCAATTTTTGAGCTTCAAATAATGAAGCAGAGTATGAGGCCTTGTTAGCCGGAATTAGACTCATGATTGATCTAGACATAACAAAGCTTTAGGTATTTTCTGATTCACAACTCGTCGTGAGCCAAATGTCAGGGGATTACATGGCAAAGGACGAGAGAATGGAGACGTACAACGTTTTGGTAAAAAATGAGCTGACCCGAATCCCAAAATTTTCTATTTAGCAAGTAGTAAGAGCTTAGAACTCCCACGTTGATGCGCTCGCTGCCTTGGCTTCAACTACTGAATATGGAAGAGAAAGGATGGTTACGATTAAATTCAAGGCAAAGCCAAGTATTGTGAAGTCGTCTGCAGAAGAGACATTCTACGGTGATCAACTGCTAAGCTAGATGGACGCAGTTATCGCCTATTTGAGAGATGGAGGCTTACCTGAAGAGAAGACGTAGGCACACAAGCTCCAATTAAAGGCAACAAGATTCTGGTTTTCCCCCAAAAGGGAGCTCTACATGTGCTCATTCGACGACTCTACTTGAAATGAGTTCACTCAAGTGAGGTCCAAGACTTTCTATCAGAAATTCATGAGGGTAGTTGTGGGGGGCATACTGGTGGTCGATCACTAGCTCACCGAGCTCTTACGCAGGGATATTAGTGGCCCTATATGTAGAAGGATGCTCAACAATTTGTAAGGCACTGTCAAAAATGCCAGAAATTTTCTCCAATTGTCAGAAAACCAACTCAAGATCTAATTCGCTTTTCTAGCCCATGGTCATTTGCTTAATAGGGACTAGAAATTATGGGACCATTGCCACGGGCTCCTGGAAATAGGAGGTTCCTCTTGGTGGCAACAGATTATTTCACAAAATGGGTAGAGGACGAGCCCCTGTCGAATATCCGTGATATAGACACAAGGAAGTTTGTATGAAAAAACATTATCACTAGGTTCGGCATACCCATCGTACTGATATCCGATAATGGGGCTCAATTCGAAAGTGGCCCCTTTGGAGCATTTTGCCAACAATACGGAATTCAGAATCATTATTCCACCCCGACTTACCCCCAAAGCAATGGCCAGGCAGAAATTTCCAACAAGACGATTCTTGACGGAATTAAAAAGAGGTTAGAGAATGCTAAAGGCAGATGGGTGGAGGAATTGCCAAACGTGTTATGGACATACCCAACTACGCCGAGGCGAGCAGCCAGCGAAACATCATTCACTCTTGCCTATGGGATGGAGGCTGTAATACTAACAGAGGTCGGCTTGCCGACTCTCCGAACCGAACTAGTCGCCAGTGGGGGCAAACCCCTCCATAGCTCGGGAATTGGATTTACTTGATGAGAAACGAGAAACAATTGCAGTAAAAATTGCATCCTATCAACAACTAATGTCTCAGAAACCCAACGCATGGGAAGCTAGATGCCAATTAGAAAGGTCCATACAAAGTCACTCAAGTAGGAGGAAATGGGTCTTACAAACTCGAGACTCTTGACGGCAAGGCAGTATTGCGGCCGTGGAATTCATCCAACTTGCGAAAGTTCTATTTTTGAAGTGCTTTCATGAATATGAGCTCTTTAGTGCCTTAAAAAAATAGGGGTGCCCCCTATAGATCGACAACCTTTCAGCATAATTTGAGAATTGTAATTCATTTTTATGAATAAAAATTTTCATTATTTTCTACGTACATGTCTGATATTAAACACGTCCTACTACCAAGGCAGGGAGGCAGAAAATCCTGAAAGAAGCAATGGCTTAATTCAAGCGTAGTCACCTGATTGGATCCTGACCCTTGGTTTTTGCATGACGACGTAAACCTACTGGGTAGTGATCCGAGGCTGATTAGATCAGCAAGTCGATATGAATAAAGAAACAGAAGGGTTCAAAGCAACCAATCTAGTTTCTAAAAAAGATGAAAGTCTAGTTTGTAAATGAAAATTTTTCTAAGTGTATTAAGGCTTTAATTATAGGTCCGAGCTTGGGGACCGAACTCTCAAAGCTAGGGCCAAGATATTTAAAGGTCCGAGCTTGAGGATCGAATTCCCAAAACCAGGGCCGAACAAGCCAAAAAAATGTTTAGTAGCAAAAAATTTTGCCAAGTTTCTGGACTTTCTAGTTTGAGGATTGAGCTCATACAAGTAAAGGCCGAGTAGGCCAAAACTTTTAGGATTTTGGATTTTCAAATGTTTAGAAATTTAAACCGAGTTCTAACTTCTTGAAAAAGTTCCAGTATTTTACAAGGAAGTAAGAGGCCAATTTTTGCAATGCTGAAACAAAAAACTACTTGTATATATGCAAAATACCCAAATGGGTAAAATACAACTAAAGCAGCAAAATGTTCATAAGATCAAAATAGATTCAGAACAATTCTTCTTAGGTTGATGGAGGGTCAGAGGATAACGGTTGTATAATTCAGAACTTGAAGTGACACTTGCAGCTACCAAAGCAGCATTCCAGCCTTTTGCAAAATATACCTTCTGCAATATGGGAATCTGAGAAGCAAAGTCATTCTCAGCCTTCTCCATTCCTTGCTCAAAAGTAGCATCTTCTAAACTCTACGTTTTGGCTTTGAGCTTTTCAAATTCCTTCAAAAGACTATAATGGTCAAGTTGAGTCTAAGAAATTTCAGCGCTAAGAGCACCCTCAGACGTCTTCAGTTTGTCCACTTCGGCAGCAAGTTTGTTCTTTTTTTCCGACAGGCTAAGCATTTGAGCCTGTAAGACTAACATATCTTCACAAAGTTTTGCATACTCTTCATCAATGGATTCCTTCTTTGCTAGGGCAGACATGTGCTCATGAATGGCCGCTTTCATGGCCTTATCCTTTTTTGCAATCCTTGCACCGACTTCATGCACTTTTTGAAGGCCCTGCACAGAAAGACTATAAAAAGAAGGGAAGAAATAGCATTAAGTAAGAAGGGGACGAATTGATACTAGGACCATTTGTTGAAGAGCTTGCCGAGTGATTTCATCGTCAGACAGGGCTTCATTCGCAGCTAGGTCTCAGGGAAGGATCACTCCTCTTGCAACCCCACAACCACATTAAAGTCTTTAGCAGTAGAATCCCCAACTGTTATCTCTTTTCCTTTGGACTTTAAAATAGGTCTAAAAAGGGGGACATCAGGCTCAGGATTAACAATGTCAGATTCTGAAATTCTGTGCTTCTTGGAGGTTAGTTCATTAGAGAGAACGATTTCAGGCTCTGAAATGACGATTGGATTTTTGATGGGATCAGAAGTAGTAGCTTGAATGTGAGTTTGAACAGGAGAAGCTGGGGCAGAATCAACCAGGACTTGAATAGAAGGAATAGTCGAAGGATCAACCACATGTTCGGACTCGGTAATGACAATAGGGGCACATGAAGTGGGATCAACAGATGATTGAGCAGTGTATGGTTCATTAGAAAGTGAGAGGAATGATAGAAAATTCCTAACCGGCCTGCTCTTTCATGTGGCTCTTGGTCGAGGTCGGGGTGATTGTTGCTGAACCAACTGAATGGTTCTTCGATCTTCGGCGAGAGTGGTGTTTGGACGAGGAGGAACAACTATAAAGGAAGTGTAAAAGGGGGTGTAACCAAGAAGGGGTGTGTGCATCTCGGTAGAAAAGGGAATCGTTAAAATCCCACACCCTCTTTAATTCATCCATCTTCACAGATTGTTCAGGGATTCTATCCTTCACATTCTCCCTTGGACAAATTGAAGGAAAGAGGTAGCTTAGAAGACCTTTTTTAAAATAAGAGAAGAAAAGAAAAGGAATATATAAAGTGCTATTAAGATTGTAGTATGTTACCTGGCGTTCCCTCTTCATAGGGACATATGTAAGATGGAGTCTCACCAATAGCATATTCCTAGTTGCCAGAGACAAACAAAATGTCATTCTCATGACCCTTTTTCGAGTCAGGGAGATGGGTTACCAAGTATCTATCTTTATTCTTGATTGTCAGGTAATAGTTATCTCTAGAAGGTTTGACTATGTAGCAATATAAGATTTCCCAAAGGCCAAAGTTTAGATTTAACAACCTGTTGAGTGCAGCCACACCCATCACAATCTTGAAAAAATTAGGGTAGCATTGGATGGGGCAGAGCTTTAGTGCAGGAAGCACCCAAAGCAGGAGAGGATGAAGGGGAAAACGAACTCTGCCCTCAGTTATCAAACGAGTATAAACAGGAATAGACTCCCTCGTACCAATGAGAGGCTCGTCTACTCTGACCACGCGAATGTCGACATCATCAGGAATCTGATATCTGGCTTTGAATGCTATAATTTTAGAGGGAGAAGGGGAGCCATTGGAGAAGACAAAGGACAGAACAAGCAAGAAGAAATGACGGAAGAAGCAAGTGAAAGAGATGAAGTAAGAAAAGTTTTGCCCTTTTAAAGGAAGGAAACTAAAAGGCCAAAGGACAATGAAAATTAATGAAAAGTACATCGCCAGAACGCAATGCATATCTCTAGGACACATGTAATGATGGGACCAAAGCACGAAATGACTGTCAGACGAAAAATGTCTGATACACGTTTCTGGGGGCAAGTGAAGGCGTATCCAGAATTATGCACATATAGTCAACATTAAGTGAACTCACGTGATGAAGACAATACGAGAACACGTGAACGATAGGCCAGAGTTAGCCAAGCACCCTGCCGAACTGTCATCTGTTTGGCAAAGAGGAGAGTACAGCTTGGCTTCGGCAAAATCAAGTTATGTGTGCACGGCTCCAATGGAACCAAGCTTAACGTTTGAAAAAAATATCATCATGAGTAAACAACTACAATCAAGGGATTGATGTAACTAGATAAGCATGATTATCGGCTCGGAAGGAGCTAGGGAATATCTCAAGATAAACTTTCGCCAGTATCCTAACTAAGATCCCGAATCAAAGCAAGGTGTATCATCTTATAGTATCGGTTACCGAATTCTTAGCTAGAGGAATCACTATAAAAAGAAATAAATAAAGTACGAGAGAGGTACGTTGAACCTTTTTTGTATTCATATTTCTTCTTCAATTACTGACTTAAATATCGGAGTGCCTTCGATAGAAACACGATTTTGGACAGTTGGTTCATTTTGCAGGAGGGAATCAATCCACCCCAAATTCAAACCCATAGAAGAGTGTCACGTGATGTAAACCCATTTTTTCCCTTTACAGCTATCATCACTTCTTTCCTTATGCCGAACACATAGCGGTTGACCATCTATAAATCTTGAGCAAACAGACTCCTTATTGGTCACATATGATCATGCTCTGAAGGCAGAAAATACAATAGAGAAAGCCGAAGCATGCGTTCTCGTATTTATACTTGTTCTGCATCATTTCTTATGCCGTGGGAAAAATCCTTGGTTCACGCCGAACGATTAATCTATTTTGGGTACGCCACAACGAAGACCCAACAACTATTTGTTAATTCATACACGTGATTTCGAAGACATTGTGCTGCAATTCTAATATCATGGTGCCAATCAACGTTGCATTGTGCCGACTACCTTTGACAGAATTTTTTGCATGCTTGAAAACGCTAAAATCGGAATCAACAATGGAGCGAACTGCCCGACGGCAATGAGAACGAGACGGACTAGTCGAGTTCAACAACCAGAAATTAGCTCTGCAATAATTGAGCAAAACCAATTATACTAAAAGAGCTTTGCCTCCTTTATATTCGCCGCCGAACTCCATTGATAAGGATATGCAATATGGGGATTTCCCAAGCACCATAATGGCAAAATGGAACACCAAGTTGAAGGCAAAGTATATTATAATATCCACCGCGGGGCGAAGCCAGGATTTTTGTTTATTCCGAGTTAAACTAAACATTCATACGGCTAACAAAATACAAATATTTTTTAATATATTATGTGGCCCAAAAATTTTGTTTTTTAATTGTGGCCTAAAAATTTTATTTTTTAATGTTGGACCAAAATTTTTATTTTTTTAATGTTGGGCCAAAAGTTTTTGTAATAGGTTTGGGTAGATTTTAATAAGTTTGGGTAGATAATATTGGGCTCAAATTTTTTTGTTTTAAATAGGTAAAAATTTTTAAATTTTTTGGGTAAATAATGTGGGTCTAATATAAATGAGGGGGACACACATAATATATTATATAAACATATAATACATATAACCTACTAATAAATAAATAAAAGTTTGAGGGAGGGCACTTGCCCACCCTGGCCCAGCTGTCCCTCCTCCCCTACGTAATCCCCTCTCTATTCCGATCAAAATAGGAATAGAAAACCCTCAAAAACTTTTTTTTTTACATGATTATTGGGCTTAAGTCTTAAGGCTTTGAAAAATTAGGCTAATAATTAGTGATTTAATGGGTTGATACTGATAGCCTTATATGAAAGTGATAATTTTTTTTTTTTACTTTGGACTTTAGCCCACCATAGCCCACTAATGAATCCGTCCTGTCCACCGCTTTACGACAAGAGATCAGTAATCTACTAAGTGCCAAGCGTGTTTGGGTGGTACATGCACTGGAAAAAGATCTTAATCACCATTTAAGGAAAGATCTTTAAAATATTTTGTTCACCACAATGTTTTGTCAAAAGAAAAATCATCATAGCAGAATCTCCAATCCTTGTGTCCCATACCAAAGGAGAGTACAATGCAATGAAACTTTATGAATATCACTTACGGCCAACAGGTTCGCGGTAAGGCTTGTATTACATGAACTCTTTACGAAATGTATAGGCATTCTTATGAACAAGTAAGATAAAGTATTTATATGCATCTCATGGTGACCAAGTATTATTGAACTTGGATGAAATACGTGAAGAGAGCACTTATTTTTGCATTCACCAAAGTCAGTGCACGGACATATAAAATAACAGGCATTGCGAAGTCCATCGACATACAAAATAATAACAATGGTACGTCGGAGCTTCGTGAGTCGAACAAATATAGAGGTCGAGCACCTCCTTGTAGATTCTTGCGACAATTTGTAATGACAATGATATCCTAAATGTGCCCACTGTCGAGGCATTGCATTCCTTTATTAGTAGAGATAACTTTGGTAGAAGAGCATTACTCATAAAAATCCAAATACTAGTACTAAACCACGGGAAGGCTTTCATAGTGAGGCCTTCTAATGATATCATATTTGTGACCGTGTCCTATCAGTGCTTAAATATCAAACACCCAACTGTCAACCCCTATAAATAAAATAGGAAAGTCCGAACTTGGAGATCACCGAGCTTTGTGGACTGAGCAGATGTGGGATAAAAACTAATAAAAAAGCATTTCTTTGCAAAAGCACAAAAACCAGTCCATCATTGGAGGAATCATGATCTTCGGTGTCATGAGAGAAAATCTCATCTTTGGTGTTTAATAGACCAAAGATGATGATTTAGACCAACTACATTCATGCGGAGCCTTTATCGTGGGTCATGCAGTAAACATGGTGATTCTGTACTTCTGATGAATCTGAAAGGAAGGCCGAGTGCTATAACTCGACTACGAGAAAGACCGAACTCCAAAAAGTTTGATCAGAGGGTACAAGGTGCATCAGTGATCTCAAGCTTGGGCCGGGCTCACGAGCCAGATGATACGTAGACCTAGGGGACACAAATGTTTTGTTTCCCATAGATAGACGATGCCAAATTATACGGGTAAAAATCCGTCAATAGTTGAAATATGTTAAAGTGTGCCCTTGGTCTTCGAGTATTATCCAATTCATAAATTGCAAGATAGAAAAAGGTTAGAGTGATCCCCGGCGTTGAGCCAGGGGAGGCTCCTGCAATGTCTATGTTAGTACTGTGATGAATACCTGAATATGCGAGTGTATAAATTAGAAAAATAATATAGGTGTGTGTTTGTGTGTGAAGTATAGAGTCAAGGTGCTCATACTTTATGTCCCCTCTTTCTTGGATTTTCACCCATATATATAGAGAAGATTAAAAAGTCACTTACCATGTTATATTGTGCAACCGTCAATGTAGAGAAATAGGCGTGGGATAGCCTACTAAAAACACTCATTACATGTCATTATTTATTATAGCAGGTCTTACTTGTGATATATGTCAATTCATTTATATTTCTTTCTTAGGAGTGGGGCTGGTAGACCCACCTAACAAATAATGTTCCCCCAATTACATTCATTGGGTGATCAAAGCAGTACAGATCAATCCCATATATATATGGATCGATGGTTGATTTTTCTTTATTAAGTATTAAGTATCGTGCTTTCATTAGGTATAAATTTTCAATTAATATACCTTATTTCCAATCTGTTATGAGTTTTTTTTTAATTCAAATTGAATTGAAATAAAAAAAAAGATAAAAATGATAATCTTTTGCTTAAAATTTGTATCTAAAAAAAAGAAAGAAATAATAAGAAATGGTTGAAATTGAATAGTTTTTAATGTAAATAAGTGTGCTCCTGCGTGCCAGCCGAAGAAATGAGCATTGGAAGCCTACCTTATTCTTATTAAAAAGGGAAAAAGGCCTAA